CCCCTTTTTTTTTTTACAGATTTTAAGTAATCTCTACACCCAACCTGGGGCTCAAATTTACAATTCCAAGATCAAGAGTCACATGCTCCACCAACTGAGCCAGCCGGGCACCCCATCCTTGCCCATTTTTAATTGGGTTATTTATTTTCCATTATTGAGTTATAAGAGTTCTTCATATATTCTGAATAAAAGTCCCTAATAAGATATATGATTTGCAGATATTTTCTTCCATTCTGTGAGTTGTCTTTTTATTTCTTGATAGTTCCCTTTGAGGCACAAGTTTTTAATTTTGTGAAATTCAATTTATTTATTTCTTCTTTTGTTGCCTGTGCTTTTGGTATCTAAAAAAACCATTGCCTAACTCAAGGTCATGAAGGTGTACTCCTATGTTTTCTTCTAGGTGTCTTACAGTTCTAGTTCTAATATTAAGGTCTATGATCCATGCAAACTCATGTTTAAGAACCACTAGTTTGGGTCTACCTAAAATGTTTTTCCTAAAGACAATCCTCACCCTAAGAAGAACTTTTAAGTCATCTGTAGGATGATGTAAACAAAAATAAAACAGCTAATATATACCAAGCAAATTGTATGGACTAACCATTTTACATTACATAATCTTGTTCAATCTTCACCAAGAGGTTTGTGTTATAATCACCTCCACTTTTCATGATGTAATACACTTCACTCTATGATGATGTAATACATATATCTCCTCCTTTTATGTCAAAGAGGATACCAACACTTGTATCTTCAGGAAGGGAGGTTATACAGACTAAATAAGGTCATTTGTGTTAAAAGTATGGCACAGTGTTTGGCAGAACAGGGCTCAAAGGATGAGAATGCCTCTTTCTATTCCTTTCTAATTGCCTCTCCCACTGAAGACCTACCCCTCCCATTGGTCAAGAAAGCTATCAGCTCCAGGGCTGATTTTTGTATTCTCCTAGCATCCTGCTCCGTTTTTTCCCTTTACTCATTATGATTTGTGATTTTAGTTTTGTGTTACTCTTAAGATTATCACATCTCTTCAGCTACTCTCCAACTTCCAAAAAGGCATAAGGTGCAATTTTGCCACTGGAATATTCCCCAATACCCTGTATAGAGCCTGGGGATATAGTGATCTTTTAAAAATATATAGCTGACTGGGGCACCTGGGTGGCTCAGTCGGTTAAGAGACCAACTCTTGATTTCAGCTCAGACCACGATCTCATGGTTTGTGAGTTGGAGCCCTGCATTGGGCTCCATGCTGTCAGTGTGGAGCCTGCTCTCTTTCTCTCTCAGCCCCTCCCCTGCTCAATCTCTCTCTCTCTCTCAAAATACAGAAAGAAAGAAATTAAAAATATATATACACCTGACTACATCACTTTTTGGTCTAAAATCCTCCAATGGCACATGGATTACCCTTTGAATAAATTCCCAAATTCCCAACTACGGCAAACAAGTCCCTACCTAATTGGCCACGATCTGCCTCTCCCCCATACCTTCTATTACTCTCTCCACTTGGAACACACTTGTTTTCTCTCTCAAACACATTTACTGTTTCCTGATTCAGAATCTGTTTCCTCCACTTGTCAGCTCTGATTAGTTTCTCATCCTTTGTGTCAGCTCAAATGTCACCTCTTCCCAGAGACTTCCCTGACTGCCCTGTCCAGTGCTACCACCACACTTCCACCAAGTTATTCTTTTTTTCCCCACCAAGTTATTCTTGATCATACCAGCTGTTTCATCTTATCTACAGACCTAAAATTTTCTTATGTATTTATTTAATATTAATTATTGTAGCTAACATTTAAGCACTCAAATAAGCACTTTTGATACATTAATTAATGAAGTAGTGTGCTACTTAATGCTTATCAATGGGTTCTCCAAAGTCCAAAACTCTGATTTGTAGTGCCTGATTTCTGTGTGTAAACACGTTCATTGGGAGGGATTTCAAGATACTAACCTGACAACACCAGTATAGGAATTGATGGGCAGTGGCACGCCATTATACAATATTTGCCATAGTGATACAGTAGTGATAAATAACCTCAAAAACAAGAACACCATATGATCCTCTCAATAGATGCAGAGAAAGCATTTGACAAAATACAGCATCCTTTCTTGATAAAAACCCTCAAGAAAGTAGGGATAGAAGGAGCATACCTCAAGATCATAAAAGCCATATATGAATGACCCAATGCTAATATCATCCTCAATAGGGAAAAACTGAGAGCTTTCCCCCTAAGGTCAGGAACAAGACAGGGATGTCCATTCTCGCCACTGTTATTCAACATAGTATTGGAAACATTAGCCTCTGAAATCAGACAGCACAAAGAAATAAAAGACATCCAAATCATCCAGGAGGAGGTCAAACTTTCACTCTTCGCAGATGACATGATACTCTATATGGAAAACTCTAAAGATTCCACCAAAAAACTAGAACTGATTCATGAATTCAGCAAAGTTGCAGGATATAAAAATCAATGCACAGAAATCAGTTGCATTCCTATACACCAACAATGAAGTAACAGAAAGAGAAATCAAGGAATCGATCCCATTTACAATTGCACCAAAAACCCATAAAATATCTAGGAATAAATCTAAACAAAGAAGTGATAAATCTATACACTGAAAACTACAGAAAGCTTATGAAAGAAATTGAAGAAGACACAAAAAAATGGGAAAAGATTCCATGCTCCTGGATAGGAAGAACAAATATTGTTAAAATGTTGATACTACCCAAAGCAATGTACATATTCAATGCAATCCCTGTCAAAATAACACCAGCATTCTTCACAGAGCTAGAACAAATAATCCCAAAATTTGTATGGAACCAGAAAAGACTCCGAATAGCCAAAGCAATCTTGAAAAAGAAAACCAAAGCAGGAGGCACCACAATCCCGGACTTCAAGCTATACTACAAAGCTGTAATCATCAAGACAGTATGGTACTGGAACAAGGACAGACACTCAGATCAGTAGAATAGAATAGAGAACCCAGAAATGGACCCACAAACGTATGGCCAACTAATCTCTGACAAAGCAAGAAAGAATATCCAATGGAATAAAGACAGTCTCTTCAGCAAGTGGTGCTGGGAAAACTGGACAGCGACATGCAGAAGAATGAACCTGGACTACTTTCTTACACCATACACAAAAATAAACTCAAAATGGATGAAAGACCTAAACGTAAGACAAGAAACCGTCAAAATCCTCGAGGAGAAAGCAGGCAACAACCTCTTTGACCTTGGCCACAGCAACTTCTTACTCAACGTGTCTCTGGAGTCAAGGGAAACAAAAGCAAAAATGAACTACTGGGACCTCATCAAAATAAAAAGCTTCTGCACAGCTCAGGAAACAATCAGCAAAACTAAAAGGCAACTGACGGAATGGGAGAAGATATTTGCAAATGACATATCAGATAAAAGGTTAGTATCCAAAATCTAGAAAGAACTTATCAAACACCCAAAAAACAAATAATCCAGTGAAGAAATGGGCAAAAGACATGAATAGACACTTCTCCAAAGAAGACATCCAAATGGCCAACCGACACATGGAAAAATGCTCAACATCACTCATCATCAGGGAAATACAAATCAAAACCACCATGAGATACCACCTTACACCTGTTAGAATGGCTAACATTAACAACTCAGGCAACAACAGATGTTGGCGAGGATGCGGAGAAAGAGGATCTCTTTTGCATTGTTGGTGGGAATGCAAGCTGGTGCAGCCACTCTGGAAAACAGTATGGAGGTTCCTCAAAAGACTAAAAATAGAACTCCCCTACGACCCAGCAATTGCACTACTAGGCATTTACCCACGGGATACAGGTGTGCTGTTTCGAAAGGACACATGCACCCCCATGTTTATAGCAGCAAGATCAACAATAGCCAAAGTATGGAAAGAGCCCAAATGTCCATCGATGGATGAATGGATAAAGAAGATGTGGTATATATATACAATAGAGTATTACTCAGCAATCAAACAGAATGAAATCTTGCCATTTGCAACTACATAGATGGAACTGGAGGGTATCATGCTAGGTGAAATTAGTCAGAGAAAGACAAATATCATATGACTTCATTCATATGATAACTTTAAGAGACAAAACAGATGAACATAAGGGAAGGGAAACAAAAATAATATAAAAACAGGGATGGGCTAAATGGGTAAGGAACACTAAGGAATCTACCCCTGAAATTATTGTTGCACTATATGCTAACTAATTTGGATGTAAATTAAAAAAAAAAATTAAATTAAAAAAAAGAGCACAGATAAAAGTGTAGTAAAAAAGTAAGTAATAAGTTTTGAGTATTTATTACCTTGTTTTAATATAACTTATTTAATTGTAAGTTTATATAATTTAATTTTTGATAATGGCTGTGTTTTAAAAGCGACCAGCAAAATTTCTAAACATTCCTCAATCCTTTCTGGCTAGCTCATAAGGACCGGCTAACATGCAGCGTTATTTTCCACATGAGGTACCTGAGGCACAGAAAGATTAAGCAACTTGTTCAAGGCTGCAGAGCAAACAGAGCACTCCAAAACGTGTCCTCAGAACACAATATAGTGCCTGGCGTATAGTTGGGGTTCAATAAACAATTGCAGAATACATAAATGAGTACATATTTAATATTATTTTTAAAACATAAAAGGGAAATATCCTAACATTTAAAACTTACACAAAAGAGTGAAATTAACAACTACTCAAAACTTGCTCATTATTCTAGTAAGATACGCCTTCACTTGCTTACTTAGCAGCGCCGAGAGCTTTCACGAAACACCTGCTCTCTTAAGAGACGTCGCCCAACCCTTTACTACAAGCTTGATAAGCCCCGCTCTACGTCGCCCCGCCCCGTCTCACCGCAAAGCTTCCTGGGAGTGGTAGTCCCCAGTATGGGTGCTCCGGTGGCAGCAGCAAGGCGCGCCTGGCCGCGGAACTACAGAGGGTGGCGCACAGGTCGCGAGGCTTTTCCGCCTCACGTTTCCCTCCCCGCCTGCGCGCCCACCCCAGCTATCATGGCGGCTCCCTTGGCTCTGGTGCTGGTAGTGGCCGTGACCGTGCGGGCGGCCTTGTTCCGCTCCAGTCTGGCCGAATTCATTTCCGAACGGGTGGAGGTGGTGTCCCCACTGAGTTCTTGGAAGAGAGGTGAGGCCACTGGCTGGAGTAGGTGGCCAGGCCCCGCCTGTGCTCTCCTGGCCTCAGTGAATGGGAGGCGGGGGCAGTGGCCTCAAGCACAAGATTCTGAGGGAATTGACCCGCTCTGGCGCCCTCGGGGAGGGTGGGAGGGCGGAGCCTGAGGGCGGGGCTGCCGAGGGGAGGGGGCGTAGGACTGTGGTGCCAGGTTTGGGCCCTAGGGGCCTACTCACCTGAGGCGTGGGGAGCTGAGGGGGTGTGTCCCCCTCGGGTCCTGAGCAGAGGGGCGTGGCCTGAGAAAGGATAGATATAAGAAAAGGGCGTGCTGGGTGGATTGGGATTTGCAGAGGTGATTTGGTTTGGGTGAGGTGGTGCTTCGTGGGGTATGGGATAGTGTGTGAGGGGTTCCCTGAGTGAGGGGACCTATCTTGCCTAAGCCAGTAGAGTGTGTGAGTGTGCTTAGACGCGTGTTCTCGGTCTGGGACTTGTACTACAGCATTTCCTACTGTTTCTTAAATTCTTCATCCACTATTTTATACCAGTGCCTACAGTGAGACAGAATTTGTGCTGAAGGATCCACAGGCTAGTGGGAGAGACAGATAGTTATAATCCTTTTTGGAAAATGTTCTTCCCGTGTACATCCAGTTCCTTTCTTGGAGTTTCAACCCTGAAGGAAGTGTCCTCTCTTTTTCCAGTTTCCTAAGGATGTGGGCTGCGAGCTAACTGTTGAGGGATGTAGAATTTGGAAAGGGAGATTAGAGAAAGAATTCCTGGTAGCGGAAGGTAAACAGGACCAAGATAATGTTGAAGGGTGCAAAATGTACAAAGTGAAGGAGAAATGGGGTAGGGGTTAGGTTAGGGCCAGAATTTAAGACTTATAAAAAAAACTTTCTTTACTTAAGTACAGTGTACATCAATGCACGTATAATAAGTGTTGAACTCAGTGAATTTTTATAAACTGTATACACATGTAGCCAGCACCCAGATCAAAAAACAAAACATTACAGGAGTAACAGCACCCCAGAAGTTCTCTTTGTGTCCCTGAACTTTAAATGCTAGAGTTTTGATGTTATCCCATAGACATTCTGGAATGGGGAATGGCATAATGAATGGTTGTTTTATGAATAATTCAAGCTTAGGTTTCTAAAAATACTATATATGAAAGGCTATGGTAAGCCTCTGATCCCCAAGTTATTCTGTGTGTTAGATGGTGTTGTTTCCCCCATTTTACAGATGAGGAAACCAAAATTTAGAGAAGTTAAGTAATATGCCCAGGTTTCCCAGTTGACAAATGGTGATAAAGGTAGTAGTAATTCTTATGTGTGATGGTGAGAGCTTACGCTTGATAATCCTTGCATATAATATTTGCATATAGTTATTTGTTGAACCAACTGAATTGTTTGGGTTGAAGCCACTTGGTTCCTGCTTTCTTCTGGCTACCAAAAGCCCCACGGCAGTATTAGGCCCTCCTTCCTCTGTTCTCTTAGCACTTTATACATAACTTCTATTAAGAGTATGTCTCACTTTTTATTATAATTATTTGTTTATATCTGGTTTCTCCATTGTACTATGAGTTCCTTGCAGGCCAAAACTGTTTTACTCATTACTGAATCCTTTGTGCCTTGCATAGAGTAATTAGTTGTATTGTTACTATTAAATAAATGTTGAAGAAAAGAAAACATAAGATCTGGTTACATATAGGAAGGGCAGGGTGAAGGATCCTAAGACGAGGCAATATAATATGGTGATTAAGAGCACAGGGTCTGGGATCTTTAAAAGGGTTTGAGTCTTCTTTTGCTTCTCTACATATATCTGTATGATCTCCAACATAATTTTTCTCATCTGTAAAATAGGAAGTTATAATATGTACCCCATTAAATGAGATAATCCATGTTTAAGCTCTTAGCACAATAATGAAAGCCAAAACAGCTAATTCTAGGATTTTGAATCTAAATAATCAGGAGAACAATTGTGATATTGGCTAAAATAGGTGAGTTAGAAAGGATAGCAGTAAGTGTTTGATGTATGTATAGGGTGATAGTATGATATTCAGAGGTTTAGGTCTGGAGCTTGGGGCCAGTGTCAGAGCTAGAGAGAGATTTGCTAATCACCTATCCGAATCTGATGGGGTCAGAATAATTATTTGTCCTCTTTTAAGCGGGGTTGGTACATCTGTATCACTTGTCTTCAGAGTATACTTTAAGACGGGATATTTTAAAAAGCAAGTGATTGTATTTAACCCTAAAAGGCAGGCATTTAAAAATACTGAAGTAGGAGCCCCTCTGGTTTCACATGGCATTCATTCATTCCACATGAGTTTTTTGAGTGACCAGTTGTTTGGGTGAAGGACTGTGAATCCAAATAGATTTTGGTTGACTGTAACCATAGAGTGATTTTTAATGGGAATAAATGAGAATGGGAATAAACTTGGAGGAGATGATTCTTGTCTTCAAATATCTGAAGGGTTTTAACTTGGCATGTTGTCAATTCTTTCATGTGCAGATGACAGAATCCCAACTCAAACTGCGCAAATTATAATAAAAAGTGAACTTATTGGCCTACATAACAGAACAATTCAGGCAGGGTAGATGGTGACTTCAAATCTAGCTAGATTCAGAGACTCAATGATCTCTTCATGACTAATTCTTTCTCTATCTTGGCATTGACTGCATTCAGGAGGGCTTTTCTTGGGTATTGGCAAGATTGGCCCCAATAGTCTCTGACTTTTATATCCTCACAGTGTCAGGTCCAGTGGAAGGAGAGTGACTGTTCTTCAACAAACATAACGAAAGCCTTGGAATTGAGTCACATTGAACTTATTTGGGTTATATGCCAATTCTTAAGCCAATTACTGTGGTCAGCCTAAGTCATGTATCCATATACATATTATATGTATCCTACTGGCTGGCTCAGTTGGTGGAGCGTGTGACTCTGGATCTTGGGATTGTGGGTTTGTGCTCCATGTTGGGTGTAGAGATTACTTAATAAAACCTTAAAAATAATATCTATCTATCTACATCTTTGGAGAGGGGACAACCTTCCAAACTATGGAAGAGGGGGCACCTTATAGGAAGACCAGAGTGCTATTACCAGAAGAGGGGGAAATTGATGCTGGGTAGGTGAAAATAACGGATACCCATTATAATAGGAAAGACATTTTTTCTATGTCATTCATTTCTACAGACCCATCAGTTTATTTGGTAGTTCAACTAAAATTTATATAAATATTTTACTTGACAAAAATGCAAGCATGTGGTTCTCAGACAGTAACTAACACTAATATAATGCTTTCTATATGACAGGCACTGTTCTAAGCATTTTAGATATGTCTAAGAACTAATTTAATCACCACAATGGCCCTAAGATGTAAATAGTTTTATGTGTAAATACCCCATTTTATAGATGAGAAAATAGAAGCACAGAGAGATTAAGTCACATACATAATGTTTTATGTGAATAGCTGGGAGTCTTTAGGCATTGCTGTTCCACCAGAGTGCACTCTATACCGTCTTGCATAGAAATCTGTCAGAAATAATTTTGGAACTTTTTTTTTAAATCATATATTTTTTTAATCATATATTTTAATCAAATATATATATTTTTTAATCATATATATTCCTCAGCCTTTGCTCTAATGATTAGGAATCAATATGGGCTTAGCTTCTTGAGTTTAGGGTAGAGCCCAAGCTATAAGTGCTTATTTAGAAACCCACCTCCAATGCAGCTATGAGGGTCAGGGTCAGGAAGAACACTTCTGATAGCACTACTTTAAAAAAACCAGAACTTTTATTGTTAAACAAAATGGAGAATTAATAAACCACACACAACAATGTATTGCACAGTGAATTATTGTAAGCAAAACACATTTGTAGGCATCATCCAAATCAAGAATCAGAACTTTGTCACTTATTCCAGAAGCCCTTATGTATGCCCCATTTTAGGCATAGCCCCTCAGTGCCTTCATTAAATAACCATTATCCTGACTTTTATAGTCATGACATCTTTTTTTTTTTAATTTATTTATTTTGAGAGAGACAGAGACAGTGCAAGTTGGGGAGGTACAGAGAGAGAGGGAGACAGAGAATCCCAAGCAGCCTCTGTACTGTCTGCTTGGAGCCTGACGTGGGGCTTGAACTTATGAAACTGTGAGATCATAACCTGAGCTGAAACCAGGAGTCAGATGTTTGACTGAGCCACCCAGGTGCCCCCATGACATCTTTTTTTTTTTTTTTTAAGTTTGTTTGTTTGTTTGTTTGTTTGTTTGTTTAGAGAGAGAGAGAGAACAAGCCGGGGAGGGGTAGAGAGAAGGAGAGTGTGAGAATCCCAAGCAGGCTCCACACTGTCAGCACAGCCCCCAACATGTGACTTGAACTCATGAACCATGAGATCATGACCTGAGCTGAAATCAGGAGTTGGATGCTTAACCATCTGAGCCATCCAGGCATCCCTATACTTATGACATTTTTACATCCTCTTTGTTTTATTGCTCTGATGAGTGTCCCTAGTTGCTATAGCTTAGTGTTGCCCTTAAACGTTTTTATATGTGGTTTAAGTCTCCCCTAATCTTTAAGGTCCCCATCCATCCCATCCTTTTCTTATCTGTTGAAGAACCCAGACCATTTGACCTCTAGTGTTTCCCATAGTTTGGACTTTACTGATTGTATATTCATGGTTCAGTTTAACATATTTGCGTGTTCATTGTGTTTCCTGTAAATTGGCAGTGGGATCCAGAGACTGGATACCACTACTTTTTTTGTTTTTTAGCTTTTTACTTGAAATAATTTTATATTTATAAAACATTTGCAAAGATAGTACAGAGATATTATGTATACCCTTCATCCAGCTTCCCTTCATGTTTACATCCTGCATAATTAGAGTACATTGGTCAGAACTAAGACAATACTAAGACAATAATGTCCATATAATACCATTAAACAAATTGTAGTTGCTCAGAGTTTACCATTTTCCCACTATTCTTTTCCTGTTCCAGCATCTGATTTAGGATCATATAT